TGGGGTGTTATTGGTGGATGATGGGGTGTTATTGGTGGATGATGGGGGTTATTGGTGGATGATGGGGGTTATTGGTGGATGATGGGGGTTATTGGTGGATGATGGGGGTTATTGGTGGATGATGGGGGTTATTGGTGAATGATTTGGTCTTACTGGTGGATGAGTCATTGGTGAGTAAATCACTAGGGGATGACAGTCATATGTGCATGACGGTCTGTCTTGGATGACAGTCATATGTGGATAACAGGTCTTGCACTCAGTGGATGACAGCCCCTAGTGGATGACAGCTCCTACTGGATGACAACCGGATAGATAAAGAATTAGCAACAAAACTCACCCTGCGATAAATTAGACACGTGGGAAACAGGTGTATAAAACCGTGCTGACAACCGGCACTAATTTCCGGTGACAAACTGAAAGCGAAAACTCCTAATTATTGTGTCATTAAAAAGATAATTGATATTTAGTCTGGAAACAGGTGTGCATGTGTCATAGGTTAATTACTCTGTTGGGAGGTAATTATTTGGACGTTAAGGTCAATGTGTGTATAGATGGTAGATCTGTCTTTGAGGTGGTTGTAATTCTAAGTATATTACAGTTATGTATTTTGATGTTTTTATTAAATTTAGATGGTCAATTCCTTGGCTCTTGTGACTGAATTTTTCATGTTGTCTTTCTTGGTGTTACAGACAGACAGACAGACAGACTAGTAAAAGGAAGAACTAGATGGAAAATAATTATAGGAGTCAGGGTGAACGAAAGAGGAAGAGGGGGGAACTGGATGATGATGATGAGAGAAGAGGGAAATGAACTGGGTGGAAGAAGGGGAGAGAGAGTATGTGTGTGTGTGTGTGTGTTTTATGCAGGGTGACATGGTGTTGTTTGGAGAAGTATTAGTTAATTAGTGGCTATTCACCCCCGTTGTAGACTTTATTAGTGGTTAATAGAATATGTAAAGGGTGAAAGGATCATGTTTGAGATTTTGTAGTTTTTTTCTCCTCCTGATTTGTGATGGTAGATTAGGTTAGGTTAGGTTGTTCGTGTATGAATTAACTAAGTAAATAATATTGTTTATATACTTGCACAGACCTCAAGCATACTATGGATATCTTTCCCTATTTTTAAAGACTTCTCATCAGGTATAGGAAACGTTACCTGATTGGCCCAGTTTGTTGAAGTGTCTCAGTACATTAAAACAGAGCCAGGATGTTAGACTAGGAAACGAAGAGCTTATTGTAGCGTCCTCTCGTTTCTATGGTAACCAAGACCACGCATGCGCCGCCATCTAGGTTAAAAAGACGATGAATTTCAGAATGAACACTGCGACTCCTGTTGTCTCGGTAGGGTTGTCAAAATCCTTCGTCTGTTGTGTCATATTGTCTCAACACAATTTTGTATAGATAGTGTTTTGAGTGATTGTATATATTGTGGAAAGTCGATTGGGAAAAAAATATTCTTTTATTTTGTTGTTTTTCTCGGTTATTTTCTTAAGTACAGTCGTTAATGGACTCGGTAAAACATGAGTACAAAACTTGGTGATGTTAAATTGTACCCAGGAAGTTTAGGTCTTTTGCAATGACAAAGATACCAAGAAACATTGATTATAATTGTTTTGTTATTATTATATTCGAGGAAGTAGAGCGCCGGCGAGAACAGTTCAGTATATCAGTAAACAGAGCAAATTTCTGGTCATAAAGATACAGTTTTGTAATATAGACGATAATAATTACACCAGAATACAGTTTTTAGATTATTACAGACATATCATACTTGCACCTAACCTTACTTAATCTTATACTCGGCTTAAAACAGTGATACCTAACCTGACTTAGTTCATCGCATATATTTAAAAACATTAATATAATCCTAAAAGCCTTTGGTAATATCTAACACAGAACGAGTTACAATATAGTGTACAAAATAAACAAGAAGATAAAATATAGTGTGTGTGTGTGTGTGTGTGTGTGTGTGTGTGTGTGTGTGTGTGTGTGTGTGTGTGTGTGTGTGTCTGTGTGTGTGTGTGTGTGTGCTGTTTTTTCTGTTTTTATTTAGTCTTCCTTAACTAATCTGGTTTAATATAATCAATATAACTTAACCTAACTAATCTAATTTAACCTAAACAGTCTAAATTAACGTTACCATTCTAACTAACCCAAACTTAACTAAACCATTCTTTCGTGTTAAGTTAGAATGGGTAAGTGAGGTGTTGTGAGGTTAGATTCGATAAAGTTAAGTTTAGGTTATATGAGGTAATGTTAGGATGGTCATTCTTCAGGTGGAATAAGCTCGGGGTGGCTAATCTTCAGGTGAACCCCCCTAAGGTATGCAGTCACCTCCTCCCTCGCTTTTATCAGCTGCATATCCAAGGCTCTCCGTTCCTAAGAGTTTAATAATATTTTCAGTATATTTGAAGGTCAGTTTGTTAGTTTCTCCCTTAATAAGTCTCGATTACAGTCTAGTAGTTAGAAGCATCGTCTGGCCCTCACTACCTCCTCTGATTACTGCTGATGGCTGATAATAATGCCTTGTGATATCGAACTACTTGTCTTTTCCGGATATCTCGTGACAGCCTCCACGAAACTGTATTTACCTGGATACGTTAACCTTTGGCTTAATTGGTACGTGTCAACAACACACCTGCTGCTGATGTCTACCTGGCTAACAGCAAGGCGATACAACACCTTTTAATTTATCAACAAAACCTTTTAATTTCTCTAGACAATACTTTTATTTATATATATATATCAACACAATATCATTTAGTTTTTCGACATATCTTTGAATTTATCTCTACAACACCTTTTAATTTCTCTCCATCAACTCCGTACGTAAAACCATGTAAAGACACTTAGCTCCATCAAACACCTTCAGTAAACTTTATCACCCAATAATTCACGAAATTCTCAAGTGTTCTACGGTCCTAAACCCCCACTGGCCAGCCTCGCGTTGTATCCTCAGCGTATTCCCAACATGACGAATCTAACTCTGCTCTGAAGACGCCGCCTGCAACCATTAGAATTGGAACCAAATAGGATTACGATTTAGGACCCATTAGGATTAGGTTAGGTTAGTTAGGATAAGGTCTATTTGAACTGAGGATTATTTGACTCGGTGACCTTCCGACCTGACTTGACCTGACCTAGAGTTGCTACTGGGGAGGGAACTATGTGAGAGAAGAGACGGGGTGGAGAAACCTTGTACCTACACTGACCTTATCCTCACTGCCTCTGACACCAACTACCTCCTTAAATTTATACTATAATAAGTAGAGGAGTGATGCTCCACCTTTAGTTTACAGAAATAAATTAAGAATCACCAGAAGAATCTCCACCCCAGTCCATTCCACATGAAGAATCTGCACCCCAGTCCATTCCACTTGAAGAATTACCCTTCCTTCTTTTCTACACATTTATTGGCAGGTTACCAGAAGATACAAGATAAAAATTTACACAGCACAATATTCACACTACTGATGGCATTGGATACTGTATAGCGGTATGGTGACACGAATTTTATAAGCCTATGTGAGAACGACCATCCCCGCGTGAATTATTGATGATAGGAATTTTAAAAGTCTAGTTTGCAGCCACGCATTGTCTTGTCGTAACTCTTGCGCTTGTTCCAATAACACATTTGATCTGGTCTCGCTTTAAGAATCACCCTTTCCCTCCCAGTGATCCCAAATAAATAATAATAATAATAGACTTCAGTTATTCGTGTATCTAACTTTTAAATATTCTTGGTGGTGTTCACTTTTCAAAACAAAGGAAATACACTAGAAAAAAAATCAACAAACACAAACACATTTCACACATACGGTAAGATTGCACCAACATTTTGACCCCCAGTAAGAATGACCTCTCCTACACACCAGCAGTCAGTCAGATACGGAAGATGGATGTCTTGTCTAAAACTTCCAATTTCTCTCAGTCGTAAGATTAACATGTTTACAACTGTGTGCCCTGACAGGAAGCCAACCAGAAATGTTGACGTAACTATTATTGAACGAGGGGAAACTGTGTGTTGGTGTCTCGGCTGCATCCGACCTGGACTTACCTGTTTTTGTGAGTTTTTTTTTTGGGGGGGGTGGGGGGTATTTCCTGATGTATGTATGTATGTATGTATGTGTATGTGTGAATGAGAGAGAGAGAGAATATAGATTGCTACATGGTCTGATCGATGTAATGAAATGTTTGATAGATAGACAGATAGATTGATAGAAATAAGCAACTATTGTAACTCATTTTACTTTCCTTTTACGAGGAAAATACCAGAGGGGGGAAAAATACACCAGTTATTCTAATTTCCTGTGTTGTTGAGCTGGGCTGACAAAAACAACCTGGATGACGTCAGCTGGGTCTTTACAACCTCCTGGACTGCATCAACACGTCCTCATTATCGAGCTTCCGTCCTCACTGCACTACTGCCGGCCCCTAGGTAGAACAATGGGGAGGACTGTATTGTTTGGTACACCTTTAGAGTCCCCAGTCACGTGATTCCTTGATCCCGTTTGTTTGCTCTTGTTTATAGTGAGTCAATGGGATAACTTGTAATATAACCCGTATTGCGTATTGTTAGTGATTATTACGTGTTATTTAAGGATGTATTCTGTTAAAGTGAAGGTAATTTTTATTTGAGATAGACGGTTCTGTTTATTGGTGAACTGTTTAATTATAGAATAGGTAAATAATAACAATAACTGCTCCGTCATACTCACCTCCGCTGCCACCTGGCGTCTACTCGCACGTGCGTTGCCACGACAACCGAGTCCGGCCACCTTTGCCTGGCGTACGATACAAGGGAAACGTTTGGTTTTAGCGTATTCCCGTATGTGTGAGATCTTCATTTGCAGCACAAATATTAACAACTATATGGCGTATATAGTATATTATGTAAACCAAGATTGTTTTGAATGAGTGTTGTGTGTTTAGTTGTATTTGGTTGTGGTAATGAATTGTGGACAAAGTTTACTCTCTCACTCTCTGCTAGACTGCCACTTCGCAGCCAGTTATCAACGGGACGGCAAAGAGAGAGGGAGCATCTCCCGCTCTCCATTCGACTTGGACTTGTGTCGTCGCCAACTTGTTGAGTTGTAAAACTTGAGCCGAAAATTTTTGTAAGCCCTCTATGTGATATATTTCTGAGATCAGTTGTCCCTCTCAGTCAAGACGACGTGTATGAGGAATCATAGTGCATGAATGGAACCAATTAGAGTTGTGTTTCAGGACCAATGCTTCAACAAGTGGTGGTAGTAACTTGATAATAAGAAGTAGTAGTTTGTAGTGACCATCGCGAACATGGACGGGAGATATACACCAAGGCTCCTGCTGTCCTTCCTCCTCCTTTTAATTACCAGAAACGGTAAGTAATTGTCTTGGTAACTTGAGTGTTTATCAGAAACCTTTACCTCTTCTCTGGTTAAAGTCTTGGTCATGTTTCAACACGTTATGTAAAAGAAAATGTATGTGAATAATCTCGAGCATTCATTGTTGGTGGTGAGGCGATAGGTAAGTCCATCATTCACACTCATTCATAATATATTTTTCAACAATTTAGTTCTTGTAAAATCAGTTTATTCATTTATTTCTTTTCAATATATCAATAATTTAGACGCCATTCTCATACTGAAAACGATACGATATTAAAATTGTCAAACACCTGAAAGTTAGTTTTTTGGCGATATCAGCTCATGGGGTTGGGATTTCAATAGTTAGGTCCAATTAAGTGAAATCATAGGTAGTTATAGTTAGGTTCAGTTCACTAACATTATAGGTAGTTATAGTTAGGTTGGGTTCAGTAAAATCATAGTCAGGATTAGTTAAGTAAAGTCATGGTTAATTACAGTTAGGTTCAGTTTAGTAAAATCATAGGTAATTATAGTTAGGTTCAGTTAAGGTTAAATTATAGTTAGTCTCAGTTATATTTTATCTACGTAACACTTATTTCCTTCACTACATTGCCGACCAGAGTACAATGCTTTACTCCACTTACTATGATAGTTTAACCTCTTGAGTGCAAATGACATAATCCATAGAGTACAATCACATAGGGGATTAAGCCATCGTTCTCATTGGTTAAGTCATCGTACTCAAACGCCACTCATCCTACTCAGGGGGTCAAGTCATCGTACTCAAGGGCAAGTCATCGTACTAAAGGGGTAAAATCATCGTACTCAAGGGCCACTCATCTTACGCAGGGGTCAAGTCATCGTACTCAAGGGCCACTCATCTTACTCAGGGGTCAAGTCATCGTACTCAAGTCATCGTACTCAAGGGCCACTCATCTTACGCAGGGGTCAAGTCATCGTACTCAGGGGACAAGTCATCGTACTCAGGGGTTTAAGCTTAAGAAGAAAACTGAGTAACGCATAAAATAGTGAGAAATACGAATAGAAAATGAGAGACAATTAAGATAGTGAAAAACACGAATGATAAAGTGAGACGAATATAAGACTTTTACAGACGAATAAACCTTAAGAATAACACGATAACATGATAACACAGAACATAATAACATTTAATAACATAGAACATTATAACAATTGACCTTTCGGGCCATTAATTTTTCTGATTAACTGTAATTAGGTTAGTGGCGTCATAATTACGGGGTCATTAATTTGTTACAGTAAAGGTCAAATTTTATTAGTCTATGTATTGTTATTATAAATTGATAGTTGAGTTTTATTAGTTCATGATGATGGTGATAATTAAGGAAGATTATACTTTTCAGGGAGGTAATATTTTTAAGGGAGATGGTATTTTCAAGGGAATTGTCGTATTTAAGGGAGGTAATATTTTTGAGGGAGTCAACGTATTTAAGGGAGGTAATATTTTTGAGGGAGTAAGCATATTTAAGGGAGCTTGGTATATTTAGGGAAGTTATTATATTTAAGGGAGATGCTACAGTCAAGGGAGTTATAGAATTTATGGGAGATTTTAGTGGTTGCCATACTGTAGGGTAAAAGTTGCGATGGGAACAGGAAATAGTTGCCATGCCTTAGAAGTAATAGTTGCCATGGATGGAATAAACAGCTGCCATGACCTTGATTAATGTCTGTATGGCAATAATCAAAGTTGCCGTGGAATTAGAAAAGTGCCACGTATTTTGCTTTTATGACAATATAAAAATGATAGAGACGATATTTTCACCCTGTATAGTTGTCATGAGTTTAACGAAAATATATCAACTTTAATCTAATTTAGAAAGTTGTAAAAAATAATTACTGTTTTGAAATTGCTATCCATTATCTAAAGTAATTCAGTAATATCTACGTGTTATCTTTACTCCTCTAGGTATACCTGTTATCTCTAGTGCTTTAAGAATAATTACATGATATTATTAGTCATCTAGAAATACATGTTATCTTCACTACTGCATCGTTATCTTTGTTATCTTTTTTCCTTTCAAAATATTTATTGTTTCTTTGTACTTTTCTTCCTCTCTTGTGTGGGATGGATTAAGGGGGAGTGAGACCTCAAAGTAAGGGAGGCACACACACACACACACACACACACATCCTTAACTTACACAGTGAACTATATGAAATATCAAATGGAGGTTTTAATTAGTCTAGTGTAATGCATAAATGTGTAAAGAACTAAACTGATAGACAGTTAAAAACAGTTTAAAGTTGACTGGACCTAATAGTGTGACTGGGTATATATTAAAACCCCAGTTACTTTAGACAGTTTGGGTTGATAAATTACAGTCGAATTACAGCGTTGTACAGTTCGGTTCTCATTAACGAGGATGGCTGGGGAAGTTCCAAGTCGTTGCAATATTATTAAAGCGAATCAAACGTGTGGAAAATGCTCGGTGCTGGAAGGAAGATTCAGTGTACCAAAAAAAAAAATCAAGTTATGTTAATATTAATGTGGTGTACGACGGGAAGTTGTGTGTGTGTGTGTGTGTGTGTGTGTGTAGTCAGCTGTGTTTACTCTGATCTGCCGGGGTTGTTTTATTACGGGATAAAACTCGTGCGTCTGTAAAAGCAGAAAAAAGAGGTTACTAGGGATGAATAAGTGACTGCTTAGATGGGCCCCAGTCCTAACAGGCCCCAACATAACATAACAGGCCCCAGACATAACCTAATATAAATCGACTGTAATCTAACCTAACGTGGATTGGGTAATGGACATCTCATTTAAATGGGTTTCTTATTTCTATGAACCAATGATCAGGTTTGGTAAATTAAGGGCCCATTAGAACTGGGGTCTAATAGAACAAGGGCCCATTAGAACTGGGGTCTAATAGAACAAGGGCCCATTAGAACTGGGGTCTAATAGAACAAGGGCCCATTAGAACTGGGGTCTAATAGAACAAGGGCCCATTAGAACTGGGGTCTAATAGAACAAGGGCCCATTTGACTTATAAACAATGAGGGAGACGGTTAGTGGGGAGGAGCTTTATATTACTGTAAAAATATTTTATCAGGACAGTTGATGGTGAACGATGGTGTTTAGACATGACTAATATGTACTGTTGGTAGATGCCTTAGCCAGCTCCATGGACGCTTCGCTTGACTGGTTGATTGACTGAAGCTACTCTCTGGCTGACCCTTACTGTCTTGTTGATGAATTGACTGACTGACTGACTGACTGCTCCATGAACGCTACTCTTGACTGACTGATTGACTAAAGCTACTCTAAGACTGACCTTTTCTGGTTTGCTGATGAATTGACTGACTGGCTGACTCTCTGACTGAAGCCATTTTCTAACTAACCCTTGCTGACTCGTTTAATTGATACGCATAGTTAATTTATTTATTGTTTTATTGAGCCAAAAAGTTGAGTGATGACGAATGAGGTTGGTTCAGGATTAGGATTTAAATTAATAGGTCTGTTAATCCTTCCTTTGTAATGTCATTTGTGTGTGTAAAATCCCGTTCGTTTCGTGTCAGACAAACATGAGTTGAGTTTGATTAGCAATTGTGTGTGCTGGAGCCTCTGTAATCTACAAAAATGCGTACTGTAATAAATTAAAACACAATCGGTTACTAACGCCCCCTTTTGAATTGAGGTTTTGTATATTATTGAACATTTATCCTACAGTTTTTGTCTAAATTCCTGATAGTGAATTTATTTCTGTTTATACCAGGAAATCGTATTTTTTTCGTGTCAGGTGAACATGAGTGTGTATAGTTATTAATTAATGTATATATACCGGTTTATATATAATTATGTATCTATATTTTGGGGGGAGAAGGAGGGGGGGGTGTTAATGCTTTTGTAGTTCGGCAGTGAGATGGTAATTTTAGTGATGTGAATTTTAGATATTAAGAAAATAATAGGCAGCTGATGTTAAAATTTGGGATGTTTTAAGGATGTGTTTAATCTTCGAGACATAAACATAACCATATTTAACCTAAGGAATCTCTGACTTAATCTAACCCACCGGTAATCTAATCTAACATAACTTATATCAAAGATTAACCCTTAACTTTACCCCTAAATTAACCTACCTTATCTTATCCTTAATTGTACCTTGCCCTTAACTTATTAAATTAACTTAACTTACCCCTAACCTAACCATTCCCACCTCAAGTATAACCTAACCTAGCTCCTGGCATTAACATGAAAAAATTTCACTCAGTTTTCAAGTTTGGGAATTTGAGTTTTGGCTTCAGAAAATTCTTAATATCACGAGGGAATTAATTTGACCTGCAATGGAATTTTTTTTGTACCTGATTAACTGCTTAACAAAATTCCATAAAATGCAGAGAATTTTTATCATAATACCGAATTTATTTGGTTATTCCATGATTTTTGTTGCCTGAAATGTTGTTGTGTATTAGGTTAGGATAGGGGGTGGCAGGTTATGTTAGGTGAAGGGTAAGTTACGTTGATTAGGTTAGGTTAAGTTACGTTGATTAGGTAAGGTACATATTAAGTTACATTAGGTTAGATTAAGTTAGGTGTGGATTAGATTAAGAGTAGGTTAGCTAGGATTGATTTGGGGCGAATAAGGGGACAAGTGAACCCCTCGTTGAAATGAGAAAAATCGGACACACACACACACACACACACACACACACACACACACACACACACACATAATATATTTACAATAATCCGACATTTGATCAATAAATAATTTAAACAAACATGAGGCGGACAAATTGGTTCATTAAAGTGTGTATATCAAAACAGGACTAAAAGTGAAGTAGCTTGACTGTTTTTGGTTTATATGTATAACTTTATATACATATAAATACACATATCATTTTCTGTACGTAGCCAATTATGTATGTATGATACTTGTATTTTGTGTAGCCATAATACAATCAGGTTGAAATATACATGTACACTATATATTTGTGAATGATATTGTGTGTATATAGTATATGTACAGTATAATATGTA